AAAAGATATATCTTCATTGAAAATCATAGGCAAACCTTTCTCCCGTGATTTTGTCTGCGCTCCCCCCTAAAAGCTCTTTTATTTATTATAGGATTGGATATATTAAAAGGGATCTATGTGAATAACAAAGAGTTTTACTTTCTTATTTGCAGATGGACTCGGTAATTGAAGGTGCTACTGAAACTGAGTGTGTTGATGCCACTTCTATAAATGAAGGTGGTGAAGTTGCTATTACTGATGAAATAGCAGTTACTGAAAGCAGCATAGATTACATTGAAGGAAAAGCAGACGACACCCAGGTACTACCAAAGCAGGAACCTTTTTTTCCTTTTTTCCTTCCAGCATGATTTTGAAAATTTATGGTCTTAACTCTACCACAAATCCCCAAGTTTGGTCATGGCTTGTCCCAAGAATTTTGGGAACTATTGAGTGTGGTATTGAGAATTGAGGTATTGAGAATTCTCTTTGACATTCCTCTGTAATCACTTCAGTCGTTTTTAGAATAATTGTGTAGGATTTAAATTAAAATCTAGCGCAACTTTATGATGGTGTAATAATATGTTTTAAAATTGAAAGTTTTAAAAAATTAAATAAGCTAATATTGTAATTTTTAAAAAGTTTATAGCCTGTGCTATTTTAAATTGTGTAAGAATACAATATTTTCCAACCCTAATATCAATCTTGCAAGAATCAAAGTACCTGTATCTATCAAAATACCAGTATCTTTCAAAGTAAGTATCTATCTTATCACAAGATAAGATGGATATCACAACCAGATGAGCTAATTCTATTTATTGTAAAGCTACATTGACAGAATCTTGCAAGTACCAGAATACAATTCTCTCTCCCCACCTTCCATCCCGCTGCTGTGCTGTCTCTTTTGAAAACATGAATAAAAAATAAGCAAGTAATATAATAGAAAAAAAGAAAGAATCAGACAAAAGGTAAACTATAAATGAATGAAAAAAAGGCTTGACTTTCTTTGGTATGGATACAGATAAAAAATATATCTAATTCTTAGTCTATTATTATTACTTCTATAATCCCATACAACTCTAATTATCAAATCCTAAAATAAAAATTATGCTTCATTAGTTTGTCAAAAAAAATCCGAAAGTGATTTCAGTAACAACTTATCAAATTCCAAAACCATAATTATATGTCTCTTGGATTCTCACAAAAAATCCACACAAGTACCTAATAACATAAATATACTGTGTGCACAATTATTAGGCAAGCTGTATTTTGGAGGATTAATTTTATTATTGAACAACTACAGTGCTCTTGGTCAATCCAAAATGTTAATGAACCTCAAATCTAAATATTTAAGAAAGTAAAAGTGAGGTGTGCACAATCGGTGGGTTTCAAAAATTTTCACCACTGGTTCAGTGGGCGTAGATAGGTGGGAGGGCATGTGGCTGAGTGGGCATGGACAACTTGATGCCACTCATGCACACAGTCACAAGCCCCCCCAAGCCACGCTCACCGAATCGAGGGCAATGTTTTGGGGGGAGGGACCCAGTTGGCCCAGCTCAGCATGCCAGCTATCAGAGGTGAGAAGGGGCACTCCTCCTGCGGCCATTGCAGAAGTCACCCGGGTGATCCACTTCCCGCCTCCCCAGGACAGGTCTGCAGCTCGTCCAGACAGAGGCCACAACCCACTCGCTTTGTCCACCCGGCCAGCGGGAGAGGTGACAGCACCACTGGCTCTCAAAGAGAGCACCTATTTCAGAAAAATGAATTTGTAGGCTACTTAAAATTGATCCTTCTTTAACTGATTCTCCCTCACTCACTCCATCTCCTTTGCGGGATTTGGGACAGGGTATCGGAGCAGCCTCTTTTCTGCCTCAACGCACATTCATAGGATACCTAAAACTGCTTAGGAGAAGAGTCCAGGCACCTGGAGATTCTGCAGCACTAGTCTGAAGGCACATGAATTGGTCTAGGATACCATATAAACTTAAAATGTGTGGCTTGGTTTCTAATGCGAATCCATTCCAGTGTGATTAGCCTGTGGTTTAGTGTCTTGACACAAACCTTAAACAATTGAGTTAATCCTGTATAAATCAAAGCCGAGGACCACAAACATCACCGCTGAAGTGCATGTTCTCCATTACAGTACTGGACCCGAAAACAGGTTCAGGGGTCTTCCCCAGGGAAACGGAGAGAGCGTTCCTCTTCCTTGCCAGATTGCAAGATTGTCCCTCCCACACTTTCGGTGTGCTCTGCTCGACCATGCGAAGGTGCACATGCATCCTTGGAGTTGCCGAGGCAGGTGGTTGGGAGGGAGGGATAGCTCCTTCCCTCAGCTGTTTGTTTTCTTAAGTCTAGGCAGCTATGCCGGCTTTGTCCTTAAGGCAGTGCCATTTGGATGTTCCCTTCATGGAGGTAAGGTTTAAAAAGCAGGTAGAGAACAGGAAGGGCTATTGTGGGCTATGGAAAAGGTGCTGTTCCACGCCTTTTGATCTCCAGCCACAGGTCCATCCATCTGGTCCGTCAAGGGTCACTCTCATTTCATCAGTCCATAAAACCTTTGAAAAATCTGTCTTCAGATATTTCTGGGCTCAGTCTTGCCATTTCAACTTATGTGTCCTGTTCAGTGGTGATCAGGTTTCAGCCTTCCTTACCTTGGCTATGTCTCTGAGCACTGAACACTTTTTACTTCTGGGCATTCCAGGTAGGTTGCAGTTCTAAAATATGACAGCACTGGGGGATAATGGGTTTTTGGTAGCTTCATGTTTGATTTTTCTCAAATTTTTGGCAATTAATGTGTGTCTTTTTTTCTCATCATGTTTCTTGCAACCCAATTGCAAGACTAAGCTCTATCTAGAGCTTAGTCTATCTAGACCCCTTCCAGTCAGGCTTCAGACCCGGTTACAGCACAGAAACCGCTTTGGTCGCATTGATCGATGATCTCTGGAGAGCCAGAGA